CATGCCTCTTCTCAACCAACAACAGCAACTGAGCAACTGAAACCGATGCGCACCTCGGTTCGCGGTCTTGCACGTCGGGGCTCCGAGACTTTCGGTCGGGGAAATCCGAGACGTGAGTTGCGTAGATGGGAAATCCGAGACGTAAGCGGCAGCTTTTTCAAGGGAAAATCACGGAGAAAGTCATTTCTGTATGGTTTGCAAATTGTCAGTTTGCCAAATGTTTTCCCTTTGTCGAGGCCATTCCTTTCATCAAAGATCATTGTGGCAAGATGGTGCCATCCAGTTGGACGATCAAATTTGTTTCGGAGATTCCTTGCACCCAATTTCCAGCAGATATCCAGACCTTCAGAAATCATTAATATTCACACGCTGGTTTGTCAGTTTCGTGCCAGGGCATTTTGTCTTGTAAAGCACTTTATTCTTCCGTTCAGCCCTATCGGTACTGTCACCTTCTCGATCAGTTTACTGTAACCTGGATTGCCTCAGCGGATTGGGAGTTTTCCTGTCACTTCTCATCGTCGACCTGATTTCTCCTTGGCGACTGATCCGCAGCCGTGTTTTTTTGAAGTCACATCATTGGTTCAGAAGAGAATTTTCCAATATTTTCCAACCCTATTCCCTTCTTTCTTGACTTGAATCTATATGTTTTTTTGCGTATATATATATATATCCTATTATTGGTCGTATCACACACACACACACTCACACCCACCCCAATTTTCCTTCCTTTTTTCCACAAGGACATCGTGCAGGTCAACTCTTTCGTTGACAATTTTTGTGGGTCCATTACAGTTTCTTGGTGTTCTATAAAAACCTTTGTAGTTTCGCTTTGAACACATGTTTATCAGCAAAAAAACCAGCAAATTCATACAACCATTGATAAGATTGTAATTGTAACGAGTGAATAACTCTTGTCCATCATGGTTCCGCAGGTGATGACTACTTGGCAGTCCGCTTGAAGCGACTCTTGGTGCGATGCTCAGCCGTGGTGATCAACTTGGGGATTGGGCCGACAGAATCCCAGTCTTGTTAGCAGCCCTCCTGGTTGGAATTGCTACCCTCAGATAATTTAACATAGCTATTGAAAATAACCATTTATGGTTGATTTACCCGGTAAAAAAAAAGTCAATAGCTATGTTAGTTTACCAGAGGGTACAAGAAACTCCAAATTTAAAGGCCTGGACCAGAAGTTGCAGCGTGGCAGAGCTGCGGGAAGCCTCAGCAATGACTTCAAACATTGAGGATGGAATACAGGTCTTGCTGACCAGCGTTTTTTTTGTGGATTTTAACGGTTTTAACGGGAAACGCTCATCTAGAATCTAGATGAATCTAGAACTGGTGAATTTTACACTTCAGCCTGAGGGATGGGTCAAAAGTTGTAAATCCCGGAAATGCTTGGTTTCAGATTCTGAACATCATGGATGGTTTCACTGGCAACCGCCAATTCTTATGGACAGAAATCACAGCAACTAGCAATCGCTTGAAGTCAAAAAATCAGACCAAGAAAAATCAGTAACTTGCCCAACTATCACTGATCAATGGGTTTGCTTACGTTTTTTTCCCAACAGCGTTCCGGAGAAGGTTCCGAAGGTTCAGGAGAAGGTCTGGGAGGCCTTGGTGCAGAGCCAGGTTAGGTTCAACAGGTTCCGGAGAAGGTCCGGGTCAGGTTAAACAGGGTTCCGAAGAAGGTACCGGGAGGCTTTGGTGCAGAGCCAGGTTAGGTTCCGGAGAAGGTGAAGGTTCCGGAGAAGGTTCCAGGAAGCCTTGGTGGTCAGGTTCAACGGGTTCCGGAGAAGGTTGCAGAGAAGGTCCCGGAGAAGGTTTTCGGAATCTTTGGCACAGGGCCAGGTCAGGTTCAACAGGTTCAACAGGGTTTCCAGCGCTTGGCTTCGCAGCACGCTTCAGAAAGATTTGTAAAAATGAAATCTGCGGCTGTTGGGGATACCACCGAAGCTTATTTGATTCCTTTTTTAAAGGACCCCAGGTTTTGTAAGTTGAGGTTTCCGGTGATTTCTCCCTCTTCGGTCAGATTGGAGAGGAACTTGTGAGGTCCGTAGCAAAGATGCGGATTTCACCAGCCGCGTTGGGTGCGGAAGCGTTAAGAACCGATGAAGAATTTTCCAGCCTACCCTGAAGTTCTTAAGTGTTGGTAAAAAAAATATGGGAATTATGAACGAAGGTACCTTCAAGTTTCTGAACGGGTCAGTTCTTAAGGGGTTCATATTTGACATTTCTTAGTAATTCCTCAATACGGCATTCAGTATAAATAGTGCCTCCAGCCTTGCAAGCAGCAAAGAGCGGAAGAAGAGGAGGACGACGACAAGGCAGGGAGGGTTGGGCCTGCCGTGGAGTTGGTTGGGAAAAAAAAAATTAGACCGCGAACAGTTTTTTAGGTGCAGCCATCCAAAACAGAGCTAAAGGCCAGACATTCCAGCATGCCAGGGCTCAAAGTTCATTTTGGCATGGTATTAGGTTCAGAAAAGAGTTGGGTGGAAGAAAACACTTTTTAGGGCCCCAAAAGTTTCTTCAGGTGCAGCCATCCAAAACAGGGCTAAGGGCGTGCCAGGGCTTGAAAAAAACTAGGTATGGAAGAAACATTTCGGGACCCCAAAAGTTTTTCCACATAATTCAATAGGCATCCCTCCTACCAGGTTTAAAAAACAAAAGCACAAGTTTCCTGTCTTGATTTGAGCAGCGTCCCGGCCAGGTGGAAGAGAAGTTCCAGAACCAGAAGCACCGGCAGAATATACCTTTCATATATGGGTAAATTATAACGACCTCACTGCGACCTCACTGAAAATCATAGTTAGTAAGGGGAATCATCCCAAAATGGCCTTAATTCAGGTTAGTGAAATATTATAATTTACCCATATATTATATATATATGTCATTGCTTGATATTTCGTTAAAGGGGAATAAGAACCAGTAGCTAGAATCCAGGGTACCCTGGGGCTCTGATTTCAATTAGCCGACAGAAAGGGTTGAATCCAGCAATCCAGCCCCTGAAGTTCTTATTGCAGTAGCTTCTTAAACACTTCTTAAACAGTGATTTCACTGTAGTTGGGTCTGATTCAAAATCGAGGAGACCATTGAGATCATGGGATTCTATCTCTCAACCCCTTTTTCAGTGGTGGATTTTCTATTGCCATCTTTACCAGAAGGTACGGCTCGTAACTCTAAACAGAAAATCGCCATGCCGGCAACCCAGCCGACGCTGCTCGCAAAGGCCAGAGGACAGAGCACATCTTTGCACTTTGACGTTGGGAACCCAGGACACCTGGCCAGTTACTGTCACTTGGGGGTCAGCCCGTTGCAGTCCTCCATATATTTCAAGGACATTCCGGTATGATAGGTTTCTCCCTACCCATATTTCCCCTACGAAATGGGGCCGCATGATCAGAAATCACCTCGGCAGAGTTTGGGGAACGCTTCAGAATCTAATTCAGAACTGATGAATTACAATGGGCCATCATTACGGTTTTGGAACGGCTGATGTGCCACTACAATTTGTTCCATCATTGTAGTCTTATCTCTGCAATGTTTTGGGAACGAAACCATCGCGGCTGAGTTTGCCGGAGCTTTGTGCATCTCGACACCTGGGTGTTTCAAACTCAGTGCTGAATGGATGAACTCTCACGACCTCAAAAATCACGATGTCATGGCTGTCACGGTTGGATTTTTGACATTTCTTTCTTTTTTTTGGGGGGGAATGAATGGAATCCCCAAATGAGGTCTCAGGTTGGTAAAGGGTTGGAATTTATTCGGATCGATGATTTTGCCACTCTAAACAGTGTCGCAGAAACTCTGCATCAATTCTTCCTGGTTGTGCTGCTGCTGGTGATGACGAGGATGAGGACGATGACGATGACGAGGATGATGATGATGATGATGATGATGATGTTGATGATGACGATGATGGTGATGGTGATGATGGTGGTGATGATGATGATGAGGATGATGAGGATGACGACAACACTGATGGTGATGCTGATGAATGGATGCTTGATACTAAAGACACCTTGCCACGTGCCGAAGTGCTGCTGTTTTTTTTCATGTTCATGATGATTCTTCAAATATGCACCATTTCTATTGATCATTTCCAACAAAAACAGCACATACGAGGCCTCGGAACTTCAGAGCCTGGTCGCTACTTGCCGAGGAGTTCTGTAGAGCACCAGATAGTGCTGGGATAGTCCCACCACATTTGTGCAGAGTCAAAAAACAGCTGGATGGTTTGAATTCCACTTGGTTTCCCGCTGTTTTCCATCTATTTTGTCCCGAATGCGTACCGAAGGGTTCTTGTTTTCTTGGGAGGGGGTCTGGGGGTGGAGGAGTGTTTGCGGGTCGTTTTCGCGACCCCGTCCCACTGTCTATGGGGAATGTGAGAAAAGGTGATGTGTTGGGACATGTGAAAGTGCCTTTCGCGTGGCAGGCGTGGGACTGTGGCACTCAAGCGAAAGTTGTTTGGAAGTTCTCTAATGGCATCGTCCCACTGTCTATGGGGAATGTCAGAAAGATGATGTGTTGGGACATGTGAAAGTGCATTTCGCGTGGCATGTGTGGGACTTTGTGGCACTTTCATTTGCGACCTGTCCTTTTTCACCGTGACACCTACCGCCTGTCAGGTACTTCAGCTTCGCTGCCGATGCCGCTTGCGCTGGGGAACGCGTCGCCTCTTCGCTGCTCCTGCTAACACGTTGCGGCGGCGCTGTGATTGCGACGCGTTGCAAATTCAAAAATGCGCGCAGACATCCCGATGGCGCATGGGGCGTAGGGGTAAGAAGTCGGTCACATGTTGTGTTGCTGCTGTATATGCATTTCTGTCTCTGCAACATTTTAACAACGCATTCGGGTTCGTGGCTTCTATCAGGTTCATGTTTTTTTGATCTCTAAAAGATTCGGTCCTCAGAAGGCGCTGTTGTGCAGGACATTGCCGAGCCTTATCTCGACCCGACGTGTTGGAGTCCATCCTTGAAGCTGTGGACGAGGGCTTCAGGGAAATGCGAGGCTGACGGCGGTCATGGGAAAGGTGCGGTATTTTTTGGTTTGTGAAAACAACGAAAGATGCGTTGTGTTGTAAACATACCTTGGGCTACACCTTTCATGTACATGATTGACAAAAACTTTTTTTTTTTAGATTTTGCCTGTAAGAGTTTGGAAAGACTTTTAAGGGCTTGCACACACACACAAAGAACACCTACGTGGCTTGAATTCGACAGGGGGTGCTATAACCTTCAAACCGGAACACTGGTTTAAACAGTGTGGTAGACTATCATCAAGCACAGCGAGAGTATCACCGGACAGAAAAAACATGCAGAGGAGGTTCATGGTTCGGCTAGGTTTGTCCCAAGCAGCAAGCAATCGGCTTGTCTGGCTGGAGGAAAGTGTGAACCCTAGCTGGGGCTTTGGTACGGGGATTTAACTGATTCAACTGATTCAACCGATTTAACTGATGTAACTGATTTAACTGATTTCATCGATTTAACCGATTTAACTGATTTAACTGATGTAACTGATGAAACTGGTTTAACTGACTTAACTGATGTAACTGAGGTAGCTGATTTAACTGATTTAACTGATTGAACTGATTTAACTGAGGTAACTGATTTAATCGATTTAACCGATTTAACTGATGTAACTGATGTAACTGATTTAACTGATTTAATCGATTTAACCGATTTACCTGATGAAACTGATGTCACTGATGTATCTGATTTAATCGATTTAACCGATTTAACTGATGCAACTGATGTAACTGATGTAACTGATTTAACTGATTTAACCGATTTAACCGATTTAACTGATTTAACTGATTTAACTGATTTTATTGATGTAACTGTTTTAACTGATGCAACTGATGTAACTGATTCAACTGATTTAATCGATTTAACCGATTTAACTGATGTAACTGATGAAACTGATTTAACTGATTTAATCGATTTACCCGATTTAACTGATGTAACTGATGAAACTGATGTAACTGATGTAACTGATTTAGCTGATTTAATCGATCTAACCGATGTAACTCGCATATAGGCCCTCCAACAATTTCCCAATCGCTAACCCGCTCTACTGACGGGGGCGCATGGAAGTGGATGAGAATGAGGCCAATGAGGCAGAGGCCAAAAAGAGATCCAAAGATGTAACACCAGCATCAGCATCCAGACTTACCAAGCAGCCAAAGACCAGAGGCACAGATGAGACACATGAAAAAAATGCCAGACGCACCTTGTTCAAATCACCACCAGACGCAAAACGAGAAGAACAGGCATTGACAGAATACAGAACCTCCTACAACAAAGATACAGTGAAGCAGAAAGGCACGGATGAAAGATGGAAACGCCAACAGGCTTCAGTTGAAGAGAGAAGCATGCAAGCAGCAACACCAGCCACAGCAAAGAAGAAACCGACCGTATCCACCAAAGCCAAAACTCTCAGCAAAAAAATGGACACCCAACTACAGCAAGCCCAGTCCATGATGGACAAAATGCAGAAAGCACTTGCAGAGCAAGACCATCCACCATACATCGCAGAAATGCAGCAGCAGATGCAAAGCATGCAGGAGACAATGGGCCAGCTAGAGGAAATCACCACAAACCTGCGGCAAGACGTCACAGACGTGGAAATCATGGCCAACTACGTACATGACACTCTGTACAAACAGCAGCAGCAAGAAGTAGTAGGTAGCGCTACAAACCGTAGCCAAGGGTTGGCCAACAGCATTCTCAGACAGCGAGAGGGACAGTGTGATCAGTTGGTATGCCGACAAAGCAGGTGTCGCAAACCACTTCACCACCACCCACGGGCGATACACCTACGGCAAATACAATGGCAAACAGAATGGGCCAAAAACACTTTTGAGACCTACATTTACAAGCACTACAACAGATGGCGGCCAGTGACCATCTGGGACTGGCAGAACAAAATGGTGCACCACGGCAATGAACTACACAGAATAAACTTCACACCCCAAACCAGCGATATGGAGCGTCAAATCAACTTGACAATGCAGGCAGCCCTTCATATCCTCACCAATTGCGAGCAGTCAGACCTCTCACACTCATGGAACAGACTTGCAGCAAAGTGGCAAGACAAACTAGCAATCAAATCGTCAGACAACATGGTCGTCTTCAAAGTTGTCAGAGACCAGGCCGACCCAAAGTTCCTGCATCTGCACATCCACAAGGATTACTATGAGATCATCCGAGACAACTGGTTATCAGGCTGGAAGGAGGCGAATGCAAAAACTAAATACCCTGACTACAATGGCTATGTCTACATAGTGAAGTTTGCCGTCCTGAGAAGTAATGAGGAATATCGCACAATGAGAGATGCGAAGTTTGGTTCGGAGGAGCGCGAAGCCGGGAATTGACTAGGCACTAGTCTTTCCACGGCAGAGAAGGAAAAAGAGCCGAAGGAATTAGGAGAGAAGGAAATAGACAAGAAGGAAATAGGATCGAAGGAATTAGGGAAGAAGGAACTAGGTCAGGAGGAATTAGGTAACTGGGTGCCAACAGCGCACCACAGACACACACGTCATAGGGCCTCATCACTGTATACAAATAAAGTTTGTTCGAGTAACCGTCAAGTGGTGTGCCGGGACCTTCGGGGGTCATCCCACCCGAAGAGCGAAAGACCCCCAAAAACCCCCTTTTACAAAATGGTTAAGGGTACCGCGAAATCTTTTGGGAAAACATCCATATCCGAACAACATATTCCACCAAGCAAAAGAAACGCCAGGAGAGCCCGTAACCGGCGGCTATGGCGGATTTTCAAAAAGTTTCAGGGGGAAGCTAGGCCTGCAAAGGCCCAGGAAGCCTGGCGGCGCAAAGCAAGTCATTACAGATATAGGAAAGAGTTTAAAAACTACAAGAGTAAGGTTGTTAGTGCAATGGACACCCATGAAAAGAAACATAAAAATAGAGGTGATAAGATCCCATATGGATTCCCATTAAAGGCTGCCAACCTTAACATTCGAGGGTTGAATGGTGAAAACGGAATTACCAAACGACAGCACGTGACTCATGTAATGAAACAGGAAGGGATTGACATCATGCTGCTGACTGAAACCCAAGTTAATCACTCGTCTTTTGAATCTCACAATGACTTTTTGTTTTTCTTCAGCAGCGATGTCAAGCCCGACCAAAATCATAGGGAACACGCCGGAGTTGGAATTGTCATTCATAAGAAATTAAACCTTTCCTTTACGAGGTCAAACCAACGAATGGTAGGATTATGGCTATCAAACTTAGATCGAAAGGTATGAACCTCTCATTTGTTTGCGGTTATGCCCCACACAGTGGGCATTCGAGCGACACAAAGGAAGATTTTTATGATAATTTGCGAATCATGTTGAATGAATGTCCAGAAGCTGTTTTCCTTGGGGGAGATTTCAACGCTAGGCTTCAGTATAGATATGATTCTGAGACTGACATCATGGGTCCCCACATTTTCGGACGTGGCAGGGATTATCTTGAAGGAGTTGCTTATTCAACCAAGGAAAACAGAGATTTGCTAGTGGATTTCTGTCGAGCAAACGCGCTCAGAATATTAAACACAGACTTCTCCAAACCTCGCTCCAAACAAGCTACTTTCCGTGAAAACACAACTTCATTAGAAGAACCTATCACGGCAGAAAACCATGCTCAACTAGACTTCTGGCTCACACGCAGCGGGCAAAGGAATCAATGTACAGACGTGCAGAGCCGGACAGATATTTATATGCAATCAGATCACTACATGGTTGAAGTATACCTCAGGATTAAACTAGCTGCTGTTGGACCCCATGTCAATTCTTGTTATGCTCCCAAGTTTAACAAACCTTCTGAAAGACAATGGAAGCTTTTTAACGGTTTTATACGTGATCAATATTGTTCGGTGCGCGGCCAACTTCATTGGAAAGGGTTCACTGAAAGCTTAATGCAAGCGGCAGAAACTTGCCTGTCCAAAGAAAGTAAACCTCGCAAGAAGAATTATTTATCCACTCAGACATGGTCTCTCATTGCAGACCGGCAAAGGCTGTTTACTTGTGGGTTAGATACAGAAGTCAAAGCCTTGGACAGGCAAATCAAAAAACAGGCGCGAGCAGACCGGAAAAAACATATCATAAACCAGTTTCACCACGCCCCCGGAGACCCTAACAGGAAAAACATATGGAAATAACCTTAGGACTGATTTCAAACCTTCCTATATTGCCATGAGAGATTCAAATGGTAGACGGGTCCCTTTGAAAGATAGGGCTGAGACCATTGCAACTTATTTGTCATCACAGCATTGGTCAAACGATGTGGGTCAAGGGGAGCTACTGTTTCAAGACAAAATTGGAGCCCCTCTCGTATGTGACTCATCCCTTTTTACATTGGTAGAGTTGGAACTCGTACTCAAATCTAGTAAGCTTAATAAACAACCTGGACCAGATTTGATCCGTATGGAACTGTTCAAATGGCTTGATGGTTCTAACCGTCTCCTTTTGCTTGACATCCTTAACCAATGGTGAAAAGAGGGAGGGGTTCCGAAAGAAGTTCTTCATGCTAGAGTGGTGCCTATCTTCAAGAAAGGTGATATTGATGATCCATCTAACTACAGACCAATTTCACTTCTAAACAGCATTTACAAGCTTTTCACCGCTCTGATTCGAGCAAGAATTCAGTCGGCTGTCGAATTTAAAGTTTCGCCTACCCAATTCGGATTCCGCCCAAGGCGGTCAACCGCACACGCAGCGTTCATCATCCGGCGCTTGCAAGACTGGTCTGAACAATCAAATTATACCTTGCTCTTATAGACTGGGAGAAAGCTTTTGAGAAAGTACATCATTCCAAACTGTTGCTAGCAATGGACAGACTTGGTTTTTCAGAACATTGTTTGCGTGTGATCAGTAGCCTATATGATTCTCCAACTTTCTTTGTTCAGGATCAGTATGGTACCTCACTCACCAAATCTCAACTCACCGGAATACGTCAAGGTTGTCCCTTAAGTCCTTATTTGTTTTTACTGGTAATGACATGTGTTGATCACGATGTTCAGAGGTTATGTTCAAAGAACGTCACAAATTCACGAATTCCGGGAGTTGAATTCGATGCTGTATTTTATGCCGATGACACAATCTTGTTTTCCACAAAGCCAAGAGTGCTTAACGAATTACTTAAGCACATGCTCAGAACGTTACGGTTTAAAGATAAACAGGCGTAAGTGCCACACCCTGCACATGCATTCATTTCCAAGATAATACAGTTCTCCATAAAGCACATGATGCTACTTATTTGGGAAACAATTTAAACTGTAAAGTTAATTTAGCCAGGGAAGTGACTCAAAGAATCCAAGACACCAAACGCACATGGCAAAAATTGAACTTGTTTTGGAAAAATTCGAGCGCAGGAAAGAAATGGCAACTCATTATTTATGATGCTGTTATTCGCAGTAAACTTCTTTACAATTTGGAGACCATGTGTCTTACACAGTCACTGCGAAAAAAGCTCGATACTTTCCATTTACGGGGCTTGAGGAAAATCCTTCAAGTACCCAGGACATACGTCGATAGGAGGTATACGAATGCACGTGTTTATGAGTTGGCTTCTCAAATTGCTTACCCAGATGATCCTTATAAAAGTGTTCGACCTTTTTCTGCAATATTGGATGAGAAGCGAACTCACTTAGCCGGACATATCCTCCGGGCAGCTAACAGCGACCCGTTACGGCAAGTGGTGTATGAACCGAACACAGCAACAGTTAAACGGATTGGCAAAAGACGGGTTGGCAGACCCAGAATTAATTGGGCTTATAACACTAATGAACTCATCCATTCTCGGGGAAATGCGACTGATTATGTCGCCTCAATTGATCAAGACAACAACATTTTAGAGTTTGCAAAACAACGGTTCATATAAGCCAGGCGCCCAAGCGTCTCACTTAGTTGCAGGGTCCCTGCACGAGGCGCATGGTAGAAGAAAAACCGATGTAACTGATTTAACTGATTTAACTGATTTAACTGACGTCATTGATTTAACCGATTTAACTGATGTAACTGATGAAACTGATTTAACTGATTTAATCGATTTAACCGATTTAATTGATGAAACTGATGTAACTGATGTAACTGATTTAATCGATTTAACTGAGGTAACTGATGTAACTGATGTAACTGATTTAACTGATTTCACTGAGTTAACTGAGGCAACTGATGTAACTGATTTAGCTGATTTAACCGATTTAACCAAATGAACTGATTTCATTGATTTAACTGATTTACTCGATTTAGCCGATTCAACTGATGTAACTGATGAGACTGATTTGACTGATTTAACTGAGGAAACTGATTTAACTGATTTAGCCGGTTGAACTGATTTAACTCATTGAACTGATTTAACCGATTTAATTGATTTAACTGATTTAGCTGACTTAACTGATGTAACTGGTGTAACTCATGTAACTGATTTAACTGATTTAACCGGTTTAACTGAGGAAACTGATTTAACTGATTCAACCGATTTAACTGATTTCATTGATTTAACCGATTTAATTGATTTCATTGATTTAACTGATTTAATTGATTTAACCGATGTAACTGATGTAACTGAGGTAGCTGATTTAACTGATTGAACTGATTTAACTGATTTCATTGATTTAACTGAGGTAACTGATTTAACTGATTTAACTGATTTAACTGATTTAGCTGATATAACTGATTTAACTGATTTAACTGATTTAACCGATTTAACTGAGGAAACTGATTTAACTGATTTAGCTGGTTGAACTGATTTAATTGATTTAACTGATTTAACCGATTTAATTGATTTAACTGATTTAACTGACTTAACTGATGTAACTGATGTAACTGATTTAACTGATGTAACCGATGTATCTGATTTAACCGATTTAACTGAGGTAACTGATATAACTGATGTAACTGATTTAACCGATGAAACTGATTTAACTGATTTAACTGATTTAACTGATTTTGATCCGAACACCAAGCTCAGGCACCTTCAACGTCAGAGAGAACCTTCGGTCTGGATCCCGAAGTTCCCCAGTAATTAGACGGTTTCCTGGTATAGGTCCTTACAGCATGTCTCAAGTGAAACTTTGAGAGGCTTACAGCCGAAGTTTTGAGTTGGGATTGGCTCAAAATTGTACAGATAGCTTCAATTCCCAAAATGACTGTTTGTGGGTCTCAAGTGGGCGGAGCAAACCGCAAAACACCTCTTTTGGTTTGCAGAACTGGTTCTCAGGTTTTCAGAAGAAAAAACCACATTGCATTCCATCCATAGCTTCATCTATCTCTTTCTGATTTATGTTGGATTTATACAGTCAAAACAAACACGGACGAATTTTGATGGTCTTAAAAAACACAAAAATATACAACATCTCATGGCTTTCTTTACAAATCTTCCATTCAAACTTATTTGGTAAGGTTCTTGACAAGTGCCTCGCTGGGTCCCTTGCGGACGCAGATGCGTGCAGGAGAGCTGGCAGGGGCCGCAGGAAAATTGCCAGGGGGCGCTTGAGATGCGGGTCCAAAAATGGGGAATACCTAAGTCATGGCTATTTTCGTTGGAAAAAGATGAGATTCATCATTATTTTTTGGGGGGGTTGCCTGAAAATTGTGTACCCCAAACGCATTGTGGCAAACATCATCAGTTTCCCCACGTTGAAATTGGAGTACCATCAAGTTTTGGACACACCAATATTCATTCCCGTCGAGCGCTGTCATGAACGCCACCGTCCATCTGCCGGCTTGTCAGCTTGATTGACCTAAAAAACTAGGGTACCATCCAATGTATGAATGGTTTCAGGCTGTAGCCAAGTAACATCAAGACACTGGCACCCGAAGACATGCTTTGGGAATCTTTAGGACACATCATACAAGTGCAGCCACGTGGCAGCACCTTCCAAAATAGGGTCGTGATCCAGACAGGGGATGGTCCTGTTCCCTTTGAAACGACTCATTCTTCCCATCATCGATGGCGCATTGAGATCATTCCGAAACATTTTGGCGGTGTTCCACGTCTGGCAGGTCTTGGCCGTTACTCACCATCCCAATTTTGGGGTGCCCCAATTTCGACGCGTAAAATGAGAATTCTTCGGCTTCCCCCAAAAATAGTGATATTCTGGATACTATAGTATGGTACCAGGTTATCAAAGAAAGGATAGCCCAGGGGTTTACGAATCTGCATTTGACCTTACCCAAGCAGCTGCTATGGCCGCAAGCAGCTCCTTGCTGTTCCGCCATCCGTCTCTACAGCTTCGGGTGCTGGATGCTGAGCGAGGATCTGGATATGTGGCTAACAAACTCTTGCAGCGAGGTGAGTTGCTGTTGGAGGCTGGGTTTTTTCCATCTGAAGGCCTGAGAGTTGCAAGGTTTGGTCACGATCAGCAATCCCCATGGGGATGAGTCTTAAATTTGTCATGGTTTCTTCGGAAATTGGGTTTTGACCAGCAAGAACCGGGGATATAAAGACCGCCAGATGTGCCCAAATTTGGATACCCAAGCATTGGAACGCTTTTATATCAGCCATCACCAAAACACTTTGATCCATTTTGATCCATTCCCAGATGTTTGAGATCCAATCAGATGATTCTCGAAGTGGGTTGCATGTCACTGATGTCGATTTGCATCGTCCCCCCCGGAGGAGCAGCCCTTTGTTTGGAACAGCGGCAAAGACGAAGAACCAGATCTCCAGAAGGGGGCTGCTTGGTTGATTGCCAGCGGCTTGGCTCAGGAACTCACTTCAAGGCCAGATGCCGCAGATTTGGAGGCTTGTGGCCAGTTGGTCAAGAGGTATGCCTTTCGCACGCATCGACCGTCTAGGGATGGGTCCTACCCTGCTATGCTCTTCAAGAGCTGTTGTCGTCTCAACCATTCGTGCTTCCCGAATGCTGGGGGACATTTGCCGGGCGCCGAAGACTTTGACTCGGTGGCCCAGTACCGTTCGCCAGCGATGAAAGTCTATGCCCTGGAAGAAATCAGGGAAGGCGAAGAGGTTTCTGGAGGGCATTTAGCCGCACACTGATTGATTTGAGTTTTATTGGGGTTCAGATGAATTTCCAAGACATCCCACTAAGAGTTGAACTTTTCTCAAGGGAATCCCCGCAAACCAGCCAGGTTTGTATTTCATATCTTGCGGAATCAGATCAGTTGTCCCCTTTGTCCCACCGCCGAGCCCTGCTGAAAGACACCTGGGGCTTCCTTTGTCGCTGTGAACGTTGCCTGGGGGGTCGCCCTTTGGACCGACGCTTGGAGGCCGTGGACTGGGAGGGGCTGGAGCGGAGAAGTGCCCTGGCATCGGTGACCAAGGCGTTTCGCAGCTTGTTTGATGCTACCTTCGAAGACTATGATCCACCCAAGGAGTTCGAAACCACCCTGGAACGCTTGAACAATTTCAGAAGAGAGTTTTCTTTTCTGGATAAGGCGCATGTCTTCTCTCAGCGGGTACGACGAGAGTTGATAGCAGCTTTCCTTCTGACTGGTTTCGACAGCGAGATTGCACAGCGATGTGCTGGACCAGCCCTGTCACTTTTGGTGGAAGAAATGCATGTGCAACATGCCTTGCTCCCCAGTCTAAGCCCTTTCAAAGTGACGCCCTATGTGCAATTTTTGCACTTGCTGCGCCACGTTCCGGAAAAGGAAGCCCGGTGGCATGTGAGCGACTTGAAGGTGGATGGCTGTGAGCTCCAGCATCAGCAGAGCCTGTGGCTGCATGACCAGCCGGCGGCTCAGCGCCTCCAATTGGCCCAGCCCCGCAACCTGCCCCCTGCGCCGCTGCGCGGTGCTCCGCTGCGCACAGGGCCGTTGGCCAAGCCCGGAGCGGCCTGTGGCTGCTGCGCTAGCGCACCGGGACCATCCCTGGAACGGTGCCATGGTCGCTCCAAGGGGTGGCCGAGGAGCTGCCGAAGGAAGGCGCAGGCTGACGAGATGCCACCATTGATGGAGAACGGTCCAGAGACTCCAGAGGTTCTGGGATCTTCAAGATCTTCCACTTTGTGGGAGGCTTATGCAGAGTTTGGCCGACCAAGCAAGGATGCACAGAGTCTCAGACGGGCTGGAAAGGTCAGGGAGCCAAAGGGCAAGGACTCTTGGTTCAAATTTCGAGTTGCCAGGTGATACCATGAAGAGATGGCGTCACATTTCGATGATTGCACCAGCGTGAAAAGCGCGCTGTCAGGGGTGTTCGGCGAGATTGGATATCTTTTGATCCTCACAAACCCTTGTTGAGGGAATTCATGGAGAAATGCTTGAGACGGTCGTGTCCAACACAGGGAATACTCCTGCCTCATGGGTTTCCATCCTAGACATGGGTCACATGGGTTCGATTTCGTTTTGCGTCGCTCGTGCTTGGAGACCTACTCTGGCCACTGCCCCCCAAGTAACACCTGGTCAGTAGCTAATGTCACAGATCTAGGAATCCGTTCATCAACAGGATGGGGCAGGGGCCTGATAATGACATCCCGAGAACTTGGGATTACAAGTACCTGCAGAGGGTATTCTTCTGTTCAGATCCCTTCACCAATGCTCGTTAGCTGCTTGTAGTTGCAAAATGTTGCAAAGTACTTTGTAATCACCACAACGGCACAACGAAACAACCCCAGAAAAATGGATGTCATGAATATCATCCCAAGAAAAATCAAATCCACCATGGTTTCCCCATGTAATCCATGGTTTCTCCAGGTTTTTTCCCGAGAGCGTTTGAGCGAAGGGTTCTTCTAATAGTGGCGGTCTGTCAAACATTTTCACATCTTCACATCACATCTTCAAATCCTCACATCTTCTCATCCTCACGTCCTCACATCTTCACATCCTCACATCTTCACATCTTCTCATCTTCACATCTTCACATCTTCATATCTTCACATCTTCTCATCTTCACATCTTCACATTCTCTCTTGCCCTCTTGCTCTCTTGCCCTCTTGCTCTCTTGCCCTCTTCTTTTTTCCTTCGTCTTTTCTATTTCTATCTGAGGGCGCGGGGCAGTGCAACGAGACGGCACGAAACGCAACCCTTCCGCACGAAACGAGGTTGGATCGCCAAAACTGAGGTGAAAATGCGATTTTACAACCTCGGCGGCAACCTTTTCGCACGAAACAAGCTTCGATCGCCAAAAACTGAAGTAAAATTGCAATTTTCACGGGTCCGGCGCAACCATTTCGCACCTCGATCGTCGAAAGCTGCGGTAAAATGGCACTTTTTGTATGACAACATGGCATTGGCGGCCGGCTGCTCTGATTCATACGTTTTGATGTCCAAACGTGTAGTAAAATTGCGATTTCGCAAGTTTGCGCGCAACCCTTTCGCACGAAATGATGGTTGAGTGTCAAAAACGGGGGTGAAATTGCGATTTTGGAGGTCGGCACGCAACTATTTCGCACGAAATGGTGGTGTCAAAAACTGGGGTGAAATTGTGCTTAACTGAGGTGAAATTGCGATTTCGGAGGTCGGCGCGCAACCCTTTCGCACGAAATGATGGTTGAGTGTCAAAAACTGGGGTGAAATTGCGATTTTGGAGGTCGGCGCGCAACCCTTTCGCACGAAATGATGCTTACGTGTCAAAAACTGGAATGAAAAATTGCGATTTCGGAGGTCGGCGCGCAACCCTTTCGCGCGAAATGGTGGTCGAGTGTCAAAAATTGGGGTGAAATTGCGATTTCGGAGGTTGGGGCGCAACACTTTCACACGAAATGGTGGTCGAGTGTCAAAAACTGAGGTAAAATTGCGATTTTGGAGGTCGGCGCGCGGCCCTTTCGCACGAAAAGATGCTCGAGTGTCAAAAACTGTGTGTGGAAGGTGGAAGCTTGTGTGTAAAAGGGTTTGCGCGTAAAAGCGTCTGTGTGTAAAAGCATATGTGTGTAAAATCGTCTGTGTGTAAAAGGGTCTGCGTGTAAAAGCGTGTGTGTGTAAAAGCGTCTCTGCGCAAATGCTTCTGTGTGTGGAAGCATCTGTGTGTAAAAGCATCTGTGTGTTGAAGCTTGTGTGTGTAAAAACTTTTGTGTGTAAAAGGGTCTGTGTGTAAAAGCTTTTGTATGTAAAAGCCTCTGTGTGTAAAAGCATCTGTTTTTGTAAAAGGGTCTTTGTGTGAAAGCGTCTGTGTGTAGAAGGGTCTGTGTGCAAAAGCGTCAATGTGTAACAGCGTCTGTGTGTAAAAGGTTCTGTGTGTAAAAGTGTCAGTGTGTAAAAGCGTTTTTGCGCAAAAGCGTCTGTGTGTAAAAGCTTTTGTGTGTAAAGCGTCTCGTGCACAGTCGACGGTGAACAAAGCCGATGATTGCTTTTGCGTATTTGCGTTATAGTTGCCTGGGCCTAGAAGCATTTCTCAGCAACATGTTTAGGTCACGAACTTCATCCCCCTTCGGATTGCTGAGGTGGCCACGACAACGATGACTTCGCTGTGAGTGTGTGTGTGTGCGCGTCTGTGTCTGTATCTTTGTTTGTGTGTCTATGTGTGTATGTGTTTCTTTGGTCTGTCTCTGTCGGTCTCTCAAATTTTGTGTCTATCTTTGTCTGCTTCTGCTTAGAATCTGACATAGCATTTCTATCTCCTTTCTGCTGATCATCTGCATCATCTTCAATGAAGCTTTCACCTACAATGTCTTTGATACTACTTACAAGAGAGTAACGTGCTCTTCTACGCTCTCGGGCCATCCGTCGTCTAGTCGATATATTGCCCGTCTTTTCCCAGCTCCACCGAGGCAGGCCAGACCACCATGGCGCACGCCCTGCTGCAGCCCACTGCAGTTCTGGTGGGCGAGACCGACTGCGCGCCGGACGCCTTTGCCGCCCGCTGCCTGCTGTCGGAGGCGCCGGGACAGAGAGGGAAAATGGAGAATTTCCACGGGAAAATCTGAGGAACTGGTTTTTGGAACTGCGGTGAAAACCCAACCAACTATTGATTTGATTATCATAGAGAGTTCTACTGGGCAGTTTAAGGGGAATTATTGTTCTCCAGCATGGGAACCCCTATCAAAAAACTAGTAGAACTAATTCAGCCCCAGGTTTTCGACGATGCTCAAATGTTTGGAACCCAAATGAGGTTTGAGGTGCTCAGCAACTGGGGATCTGGATCTGAATGCGGACTGCATGCTATCCCTTGATAACTTGACATATCCCACAGATGATGGGTTTGTCCAAAAATGGAAACACAGGGGAAACCCCAAAATTGTAATTTTGTATATATATATATATATATATTATATATACATACCCCCCGGGTCTTGCACTTTTTGGCTGGGTGAGACTTCATGGGATGGGGTGGACCCCGGGGGCGGCACTAAGGGTTTGTTCCCGACGAGCACCCCCCCATCCCCTCTCCCAAGCCGGGGCAAGAGTGACAGTGCCGCGTTTGCGCAGCGGAAAATTTGATTGCTCTTGGCATTCGGCGATGCCGCTTGTGTTGCATTTCGCGCTTTCGCGTTTTCATTCGACGCGGTTTGTGTTTGTTGCCAGTTGTGGTCGGTGTTTGTCTTCTGGCGCTCTGGGGCTTCTGCTCGCCCGGTGGTGTCTTTCGTTTTTTGTTTTGGAGGTTCTGCCCCCTCTGTTTTGCTTCTCTTCCTGTTGGCGGCTGCGGTTGATTTTTGTCCTTTGATGCTGGTCGCTGCTGTTGGTGTTCCTCTTTTGGCGCCCTGTGGCTTCTGCCCGCCCTGGGGTGTCTTTCTTTTGGTGGTTGTGTCTGTTTGTTGTTTGGTGCTCTGGGCTTCCTGGGGCTTCTGCCGGCCCTGGGCTGTCTCCGTTCGTTTTCGTTGTTGTGATTGGCGTTAGTTTTTTGGTGTGTGTGGGGCTTCTTCTCGCCCTGGGGTGTTCGTCTTCTTCCCTTGGGTGGTTGTGTTGGTGATTGTCTTTTGGCGCTCTGGGGCTTCTGCCCACGTTGAGGTGTCTTTTTGTTTTTTTGTTTGGGTGTTTTGCCCCTCTGTTGTGTCTCTCTTCTTCTTGGTGGCTGTGGCTGGCAATGTCCATTGTTGCTGGTTACTGCTGTGGGTGTTTCTCTTTTGGTGCCCTGTGGCTTCTGCCCGCCCTGGGGTGTCTTTCTTTTGGTGGTTGTGTCTGTTTGTTGTTTGGTGCTCTGGGCTTCCTGCGGCTTCTGCCGACCCTGGACTGTCTCCGTTCGTTTTCGTTGTTGTGATTTTTCCCTCAAAATCTGAAAGTGAAAGATGTGAAAACGAAGATTTCGTGCGAGATTTCCTTCAAAAAGTGAAAGTGGAGATGTGAAAACGAAGCTTTCGTGCCAGAGTTTCCTCAAAAAGTGAAAGTGGAAGATGTGAAAAGGTAGCTTTTGTGTGCGAGCTCCCTCAAAATCTGAAAGTGGAAGATGCGAAAGCGAAGCTTTCGTGCGAGACTTTCTTCTTTGCATTTCCAATGCGGGGCCGATCCGACCATGATCTGAGCATAGCTGGGACCGTCTCGAAAGCAGAGCCGGGACCGTCTCGAAACCGTCCGCTGGACAAGCTTCCCCATCCATCTTCCGAGGCAAGTTTTGTCCTGCAAAACACAGCATTCCGTGCATCCGCTAACTCTCAAAAACGCATTTCATGCGAGACTTCCCTCGAAAAGTGAAATTGGAAGATGTGAAAACGAAGCTTTCGTGCGAGGTTCCCCCAAAAAGTGAAAGTGTGGAAGATGTGAAAACGAAGCTTTCTTGCGAGAGTTCCCTCAAAAAGTGAAAGTGGAGATGTGAAAACGAAAGCTTTCGTTCGAGAGTTCCCTTAACAAGTGAAGGTGGAAGATGTGAAAACGAAGCTTTCCTGCGAGAGTTCCCTCAAAATGTGAAAGTGGAAGATGTGAAAACGAAGCTTTCGTGCGAGAGTTCCCTCAAAAAGTGAAAGTGGAGATGTGAAAACGAAGCTTTCGTGCGAGAGTTCCTTCAAAAAGTGAAAGTGGAAGATGTGAAAACGAAGCTTTCGTGCGAGAGTTCCCTCAAAAAGTGAAAGTGGAGATGTGAAAACGAAGCTTTCGTGCGAGATTTCCTTCAAAAAGTGAAAGTGGAAGATGTGAAAACGAAGCTTGCGTGCGAGAGTTCCCTCAAAAAGTGGAAGTGGAAGATGTGAAAACGAAGCTTTTGTGTGAGACATGTGATAGTGGTGATATTGTCACAATGGTGATCTTGTGATAGTGGTGATATAGTGGTGATGTTGTGATAGCGGTGATGTTGTGATAGTGGTGATGTTGTGATAGTGGTGATACTGTGATAGTGGCGATATAGTGGTGATATCGTGGTGATATTGTGATAGTGGTGATGTTGTGAAAGTGGTGATGTTGTGATAGTGGTGATGTTGTGATAGTGGTGATACTGTGATAGTGGCGATATAGTGGTGATATCGTGGTGATATTGTGATAGTGGTGATGTTGTGAAAGTGGTGATGTTGTGATAGTGGTGATGTTGTGATAGTGGTGATACTGTGATAGTGGCGATATAGTGGTGATATCGTGGTGATATTGTGATAGTGGTGATGTTGTGATAGTGGTGATGTTGTGATCGTGGTGATATTGTGATAGTGGTGATATTGTGATACTGGTGATGTTGTGATAATGGTGATGGTGATTTCTAAACATCTGTTTCACGGAAGTTAGACTTTCAAACTTCCTTTGATCACCTTCGTCTACCTTTTCTCCTTCCCATGTTCCTGGAAAACGGGAAAACTGCCCAATGTTGCTTCTGAAACTAAAAAAATGCATTGTTGTGTATTTTGCATTTCTAGTTGCTTACGCTATCACCTTTGTCTACCTTTTGCGTGCTCTTTCCCATATTCGTGAAACCCTTATAAACGGGAAAAGTGCCTGACGTTGCTTCTAAAACCCTTGAAAAATGTGCATTTTTTTGCTTGTGTTTTTCTTGTGTATTTTGAATGTATTTTTTTGGGTGTATTTTGCATTTCTTGGCTGCCTTTGGCGTTTCTTGTAGCTTTGAAAACTTCAACTCGCAACTTTGCGACTCTTTCTGTGGCTATGGGACAATAAGGAAAAAACAAATTGTTGTAGTTGCTCCTCTTCTTCCCTGGCGCGCTCCCCCTTGCGTCAGCCGGGTCGGCGGATGTATATATATATATGATTAAATAAGATTATGTATGATTATATATGTATTTATATATATATATATAAATTATATGTATTGAACAGTGGGATTTTGGGGTACTCTGTCTTCAGACAAACCCAGGGGATTTGCCAGCAAAGATGGGGGTTCAAAAACGACCTGACGTCGCACATACTGACTGGGTGCCCTGAGGAAAAATCTCAATTCGTGCATTCCAAGAATGATTCAAGGTCAAACTGGGAAAATGATACGATCCTTGCAGATGGGGAAGGCAGCCAGTTTTCACCACTGGAAGTGGTTGTAGTTTTCCATTGCTATTCCATTGCTATTCTGATTTGCCCCAGATAGGTAAAAAGGACGCCAAGGGTTAAAGAACACAGGACCAACCATGTGATTCTGGTTTGTCCTGGCTTCATGAAGAAACACTTGAACAATTTCTGGTACTTTCCACAAGCCAATCTGGAGACTTCCAAGATCTACCCACTCTTAAGCACACTCTTCCAGTCAGCTTGCCACAACAGCTCCAGGGGGTTGCCTTCTTGGTGCGGGCTGCATCGTTGAAGCCAGAGAAGGCCGGTCTTTTATGCACCAGACCTCTCCTAACATCGATCATTCCATGTTGCTGGCCAGGTGGCTCCGTTGCGACGCCGACGTTTTCGCAAGGCCTTTGCAAAGCACAAAGACCAAATCAAAGCCGCCGTCTCTGCCGAGCCAGAGGTGTTCCAGCAGCTGGGCCGCTGGTTGGGCATCATGGATGCATGGTATGAGCAGATGCCTGTGCTGATGGATCTCTGTTTGTTGCGTGATGCCCTGGCCCAGCATTTGCTGCCGCTGGCAGCCTGGGGTCTGCGGCCCCACCGGCGTCCCATCCTGGGGCGGGTCATGCCGCCACCGGATCCTCCAGATGCCGTGCTGCGAGACCCTGAGATCCAGGAGCAGCTGATGCGGTACTTCGCGGCAGCACCACCCTCACCGGCCGCCCCAGCCTCGCCTGCGAATGGTGAAGGATACCCGGCGGAGGTGGATGCCACTGAGCCCCCGAGGCTAAGCGAGAAAATCCTGGCAGGGGCACCAGAGGTGCAGGTGGCACCACCAGTGGCACCAGCGGCACCAGTGGCTCCAGTGGCACCAGTGGCACCAGTGGCACCGCTCACACCCATTTTGATGGGACGGTTGAGAGATCCAGAGGAGCATGACCAGAAGCCGCAGATTCATGGTGATGATCGACATGCAGAAAGTGATTCTGGAACCTTGGACTATTCTACTGATGAGGAAGATGCAGAGGCCAGCACCTCACCTGCCGGTGAAATTGGCTTCCAGCGAATCTTGGCTCCAGTTTTGACTTAATCTCGTTTCACGCCTTGAATGTTTCTTGGAGTGACAACTGAGCACTCCTTGCATGAACAGCTGCAGTGGCAGGCTGGCCTGTACAAAGAATGCATGATTACATGGAACCGTTTTGAAAAGGTTTACAATCCAAAGCTACGACAAGAACTCCAATGCTACATTCAACACCTGGATATGTTTGGAGAACACAGCAACTTTTATAGATCACGCTAGCAGATACCGGGATTTTGCGTGGACCATAGAGGAAAGTAGCACTCAAATTGAGGGCGAACTGGGCATTTTTGGCGTGTCCTCATGGCAATACACAGCGTACAATCCCGGTTTGGTGCAGCCTCTTTTCTCAAACATTCAGATGGCACCTATGACTTTGACTTTCAAGACAGCATGTTGCACTTGCGACTCTTGGGTCGTCTTTCAAACTCCAACTCTTTGAATTTGGTGACTGGTATGGCCATTCAGACCATTCATATCGATGAATTGGTTCAAGGCATGGTGATGTGGTGTGATCTGTAGATCTGACCCATGACTTCAGCTTTCCAAAAGGACTACCACAGGACTAGCACAGAAAGGAACGAGTTGTTGCCATGTCGCAGCCTAGCTGCACAGGTCGGCCATGGACGATCGACTCTGGTTCTGTGATCGTCTCCAACTGTAGATGCAGATGGTTTGTATATAAACTTATATATACGTATATATATATATATATGCTATATATATATATATACACTGTGGAAAATGCATAAGTTTGGAAGATCCAGAGTGTTTGGGGAATCCCCAACGGTGGACTCAGAGATACCACTGCGCACCGCAACTGCCAACAGTGATCCTTGCGCAGGTGTTGACAGTCCGGAACTTGGTTGGTGAGGTGGTCACAAGGTAGCAGAATTGCAACATGAATATCTCAGCATGGAAAGATGTCCCAAACTTGCACTTGACTCCTGATGTTTCGAGCTCTCTATCTGCTCAATCAGAGATCATTCAAGATTCGTCTAACGAATGGTTGTAGGAGCCTGTGTTTTTGGAGTTTGATTTTACAAACAAATTTGTTCTTCCGGTTTCGTACCAGCCTTTCTTCTGCTTGTTACCTCCAAAAAAGGGAAGTCTTCATAGGCCTTCCCCGAAGGCACCCTCCACCCAAAAACAATTCTCCAAGACCCCACCAAAAGTATCACCTCCAACCAAACAAGCCAAACATATTCTCAACAAAATCATCTCCAAAAAAGAACCAGGCCAAAACTATGACCCAAAGAATCCCACTTACCCCCAACTTACCCCCAAAAACGTCAAAAAAGCACCATGGCGCGGCGCTTGGCCCGTGGCCTCTCCTTGGCCCTGCTGTGCTCCGTGGCCTTCGTTCGGCCGGGGCCGGTGAGACCTGAACGCACGGCGCGCGCAGCGAGCGCAGGGCTGTGGCAGGAGGCGCTAACAGCGGAGCGCGGGAGGGCGGAGCTGCTGCTCAGCAAGTTGCAGGAGAGGAACAAATTGTCATCGACCATCCGGCAATCCAAACGAAGAGATTTAATAGGATTATTATGGGATTTAATCGGATTTATTGGGATGATTATGGGATGATACCCTGGTCAAACATGGCAAGCTGGAAATCCCCTAAAAAGAGAGGTTTGAATGGGAAAACCATCTATAACGATCTATAACGGAGGAAAGGAATTTTGGTGGGATCCACCACGCCGTAGATGGAGGAGTCAATAGGGCATTTAGTGGGGCAGGTTAACGATCTTGAGATTTTGGGATTTTATGATTTAATACACCATTTCCGTTCATAAAAAAATGGCTGGAAAGGCTCGCAACTCCAACTAATTTTGTCTCATGTGACTCCTGTGTTTTTTCGTGGAGCGGAAGGACTTGGAAGATCTTGGCGCCAGAGAGAGTTGTGGTGCTCTGGCGGAAAAACTGCAGGCTGGGTTGAGGATGAGCGTATCTCCAAGAAGAAACGAGGACAAGCAAAAGAGATAAATGAATCTGCATGAAGAGAAGAACAATAGGAAGAAGCATAGAAACAATAAAGAGAAAGAATGGGCAGAAGAACCGACAACAACGATGATGTTTACCAGGACCTTCTTAACAGCCATTGGCACTAGGTCATTACAAATCCTTGGAACATTGCGTCGCCAGGTCCTCTTGAAGCAAGAGACGCCTGCGAGCCAGGAGTCTTTTGACACGTTGCGAAGCGCCAATGATCAGCTGGACGAGGTGCGCTGGTCCAAAAACGGAGAGATATTCCAGTGGTTGAAGGATCACTGAGGCCACCTCAACAGAATTTTGCGGTTCTGCGTCTCCTGATTTTTGGTCATGGCCGTCATGGCCCAATGCCCATGGTCCCATGGCCAATGCCGTTTCGCTGAGGCGTTGAAAGAGTTGGAGAGCCCCAGATCGCCGTCCCTGCCGTCTGTGGTGCCAAGCTCCCAACTCCCAGGGGACCCGGTGACCATCGATTTGTTGCCACCGGTGCGCGAAACCGATGGTCCTGCTCTGATACCTGGAGCAGCGCATGTGCGGGTCTCCCTGCCATTGGTGGACAACTCTGCCACTTGGAACTTGCGCATTTTCAGACTTTCTGACTTAGTTGATCTTAGTTACATACAGTTGATGGTCTGTGGGTAGGTTGACAATGGGGTGTGGCTGGTTTCCAATGAATATTTTTTATTGGGCATCATCGAAAATCCTCCCGAGGAGGTGATGTGGGGCTGCGACCTGACTCCCTTGTACGATGAGACTGGAAGCCGCCTGATGTCATTCACGGCATTTCTTCCCTTGGGCATGCGACTTGCAGGAGCACCAAAATTCACATTAAGAGGGGAGTCTTTCCCCTGGAGTTGGTCAAACTGTGTTAAAATCGGAGTATCCATAGATTCACTAGATGATGTAGGATTCTCATATATATATACATAATCATCCTATGATTCTGATTAGATTCTTAGATCATTGAACATCATATAATATGTAATATTATATATACACACATTAAGTCTTAATTATTAAGTAAATGAATAATAAATAAATAAATAAATAAACAAATAAATAAATAAATAAATGAATAATATATATATATAATGATTATATAACGATATATAACGTGTTTATCCCAAATCATTTCTTCTCATGCAGGCCAATCGCGCCCTGCAGCTCTTCCCCCCGCAGATGCTGACCTGGTGGTGGTGGAAGAGGTGGATCTCCGAGGCGAAGCCGACGTGCTGGGCATCCGCGCGGGGGACGTGCTGCGGGCCGTGTCCTATGTGGGGACGGGGCCGGAGCCCGGCTGGTTGGATCAGATGTTGGGAGCTAAAGCCATGCCGATGAAGAAGGTCTGGAATGATGTGGCTGTGATTTGGAGTGTTGCCTTGAAAATTCACCGTTTTTTTTGAGAATGTTTTGGGGTCATAAGCAATTTTCAGGTTTGGCACCCGAAAATGTTGGGAAAGCCCTGTTCCATCCACTGGTTTATCACCATTTACCTTATTTAACTTGCACAGACACACTCATGTTGCTGCAACCAAGACGTGTTCTAGTGACTCTAGTGGCCAAAAAATACGGGGATTTCAGCAGTCGCAAAGCGGGATGATGGGATGCTAACTGCTAGCTGTAGGGGTAACCATTGGGGGACGAATTCTTCGCCTCGATGGATCCGAAGGTCCGTTGTGTTTTCCAGACAGCCTCCAACGGGCGCACTGTAACCCCAGTCATAACTGGTTTTGTCCATAAATTGGAAGAAAGCCCCCAATTTATGGCGATCAAACCATGAACATGGGGAATTTGTTGATATCTGTTGATACACCTTCAAAGTTTGGGCTACACTATTTTGGGACAGACCCAAACGCAACATACCCCTGACAGGTCATGAAGTGCGATGGCCGTTCAGTCGAGGAGGTAGCTGTCAGTCTGTCCAGATTTGGGTTCTCATATTGCTCCCCAAAGTGGGGATAGACGGATAGACATGATGAAACTCCAGATTTACATTTCCATTCACAGTATATACAGTACACTGTATCTTTGCAAGCACACACAGACAGATTTGAATGCGTATCATTCAATCACCAAGGTGACTGAAGCGCTACAGTCCAACAGAGAGAGTCCTGATGGTCGACTTGTGTTGCTACTGGAACGCCCTGCATGAGGCAACAGTCGTGGCCTTAGTGCCTGAACCTGCTGAGGGTCGGATGTGCTTCAACTAGCGCAGAACTTGAGACGTGAGGGATCAGTAAGCTGACTTGTTCCAATTTGAACATGTTGCATGATGTTGCATGTAACTCCAACAATCCGTTGAAAGTTAACCCTTTTTTCGAAAACACATTGATTTGGATGGCAAAAACCCATGGTTTGCTGCAACAAGTTCACCTGAAATCAAGCCAGTCACGAGCCAAGGTTGGCCAACACAACGACCAGCTGTGGCCAGTCGACCAGCTAGAGTTCATCTCTGGGATGCTGTGAGTCGTGCGGGAGCTGACATCGATTCTGAGTCTGTTTCAAGAAGACAAGCTGAAATCTTATGCCGCAGAATGGACATTTGACACAATTCGAAGATCTTGTGCAATCTCCAATTTTCAAAAGGTGCACGCACCAGTGCACCACTTTGCCACACTATGTGGGGCAAAGATTGTCGATGAATCCGGGCTGAGATGGCGGCGGATTCCGACCAAACATCCCCACTGGGTCCTTTGATTGCTTTGAAATCGGTGGGTATCGATTTGCTGCTGGTGATCCGAGATCAGAAATTGAAGGGTCCTTTCGGAGAATACACTGAATAGACAACTTGACGGGTCACTTTGAGGCTTTTCCCGCTAAGCATTGGTTAGCCTTCCACTTTTTGGGCACCCAAATCTTGACTTGGGCAGTGTGTGAAGCCCTGCTGGTTGATGATTGGTCATGGTTATCCAGTTGGATGACACTCCACTAATGGAGTGCTTAGCCAGGTCAAAGCTTGCCATCCTGGCCATGAGCTCCTCGTGGTCCAGCAGGTTTGCCGACCTGGTGGTGGATTCCAATGGGGGGGAACCCGGGGAACCCTCAAAAATGAATTGTTTTTTCATGGAAAATCCTATTAGACTGTATGATTTGGGGGTACCCCCCATGACCTAGGAAACCTCCACCCGGGCAACAAAAAGTGCTATAGGTGGAAAATTTGGGAAATATGAACAAGGGTACCCTCAAGTTCTTAACGGATTAGTTCTTGAGCGGGGCTTCATAACATATGGTGAGGGTTTTGCAAATTCATAATTATTTCCCAATTTAGAATTATGTGGAAATAGTGCCTCCAGAGACAGCTCTGCAAGCAGACAATCTAAAACAGAGCAGCCATCCAAAACAAGGCGGCAGCACAGGCTGAAAACACATGCCAACACATGCAGAAAGGGATTTGCTGCCGCGCAGCCGTAGAAAAAATTGCTCAAAACGTTAGATAAAAGGTTGGCAGATACGCCAGAGAGTCAATAGCTCAGTTGGTAGTGAAGTTCTTATTGCAGTAGGTTCTTAAACTGCGTTTTCACTGTACCCGAGCTTGAGACATACCGACACACCCGCGTAGGTCTGCCATGCTCACAGGTCTGCCCGGACAACGTCATCAGAGCCAAAGACTTATCCGAAATGAATTGGGCAGAAGTCGGGTCATCAAAGAAGTTTCTTGGATCTTGAAACTTGAAAAGTTGGAGGCCCTTTGGTGCAAGTGATGAAAGTTAGCATTGGACTTCCACATCCTCTTCCCCACTTTCAAATGGCCTTGAGAGGTTAAAAGCAACACCTAAGCGAAGACCATCATCATCAGAGCTGGTGCCTGAGAAACGGTCTATCAAGCAAGGTTCAACTCACAACTGGTTTCGAAGAAACAGATTTAGTATAACTCGTAGGAGCTATGCACTGACGGATTCCTTTAAATGACGTAGTGCTGTGAGATATCAGCTGACCTTCTTTGTTCAAAAGCAACACTTAAGGGCAATCTGCTGTGACATTGCACCCATCACGGGACTGGTGCTTGCACTTCATTCTTCTCACCCAAACCAGCATCATCGAACCCCCAAGAATATCAAGAAATTCCCAGCTTTGAAGAAAGTGCAGGACATTCGAAGTTTTCAATGGCAAACGCTGCAGTACCCTCTGGTAATTTAACATAGCGAACTGGAAAATCACCATTTTCAATGGGAAAATCCACTATTTCTATGGCCATTTTCAATAGCTTTTTGTATGTTTACCAGAGGGTAAACAACTAAACAACCCACTGGTTTCCACCGTGACTTTTCCCTCAGAATTCGCATCTCCGGCGAGGCTGAGGCCTATTCCAAAAGCCAGGCCAACAGCAGAGTCGAGGCCTCAAAACTTGGTGGAGTTCATCAGGAAATTCGGGGATTTTCATCCGAATTTTCAGGAATTTTAGATGACTCTACCAGGAAATTTGAGGATTTGATAAATTTGATATGATTTGACCAGGAACTTAGGGACTACACCAGGAAATCTCGACATTTCACCAGGACTTAGCCACCAAGGGAGATACCGACTGGTGGGTATTCAAGCACCAAATTAGTGTATATGATCTACAAAAGGTGTTTTACGTTTGATAAGCTGGGGGAATTCGTAGTAGGGATTCAACCACCAAAAAACAGGTAACATGATCAAAGATGAGCTTTCACCAAGAAGAATGCAGGACTAGCTGGGCTCCTGAACTTGAACCAGTTCTATAGAGGATTATTTGTGAACCTTCATTTCTGGATCCACAAAAAAATGTTGAACCTTCACCAAAGAAGCCGGTTGAGAAACAGAGTGAGGCTAGCATCAAATCAAGTTTGACAGAGGTGGACATCCAGCTGCTTTCCATCGCCCCAGCCTTGGGGATCCGTGGCGATGATTGCTGAGGCTGAAACCTACGCTGAAGGCGAAGGTCTCGCTTGGAGCCTCAGAAGGCTCCAGCCCCGGCTGGTTTATAATGGAAAATGGCCCATTTATAGCTGGTTTACCATGGTTTACCTATTAAAAATGGGGATTTTCCATGGCTATGTTAAGTAACCAGAGGGTAATTTATACATATTTATACATTTATACATATTTATAACTCTTTCCACTTTCCAACCATAGTAACCATAGATATCTATAGATTTTCATAGTCCACCTGCCTTCTGATCCCTTCGTTACCAACTTCCAGTGGCGCGCTGGTTGTTTTTTGTCTCCTTGAGGTCGAGCTCATGGACCCAGGCGAGCCCCAAGGGCTGATGGGAAGATCCAAAAAAAGCTGTTAGGAAAAAGAAGGCCCCCACAATATGGATTCGAAAAGGAAAATCACTGATTGAAAAAAAATGGATTCTTAGGGAAAAGATGTTTCACAATGACAATCCGGCAGTTCCGAACAATCCAGTGACAATCATTGATGGATGGCTATGAGGTGTCGTATCAACCAAGGGCGGTTTCAGGGGGGTTCCGCATCCAGCCATTGAGCCCAGGCATCTAAAGCGGATAGGCCGGGACCAAGATTTCAGGGTGCAGTGCTGATAGTTGGCCAATGTTGGCCATTTTCTTTCATTTTCTAGGAATGAGACCACCTATTTATGTCGACGTATGTATGTTGTTGATTTGTATACATTTTCATATTTCTTCTCTGGGACTTTCAACATGATTTTTCTATCCCATTTTGTGCATCGCTTGTTTATTCATTTTGAATAATGTCAATCCCGGATAAATAAACTCCGGGTGATTAATAATTAGGGGGTTACCGCCCAAAATGGTGACAATCCGGTCTTAAGATGGTGAAACAAATAATCTCAGGTGCTATCCCCAACAGCTTGAAAGCTTCTGCGTTTTGCCATAAAAAGTGCTTATGCCAAAAAAATTATGCGCTTATGCCCAAAAAAATTAGGTGCTTATGCCATTGAAAAACGTCGGAACCCTTTGGAATTTCACAAAGCATCTGCACCAAACCTTCCGGAACCTCACAAGGTCTCTGCACCGGAACCTTCCGGAACCTCACAAGGTATCTGCCCCGGAACCCTCCGGAACCTCACCACGCATCTTGACCTAGGCCCTCCGGAACCTCATCAAGTAGCTGCACCGGAAACTTCCGGAACCTCACCAGGTACCTGCACCAAAACCTTCTAGAACCTAACCAAGTATCTGCACCGTAACCCTCCGGAACATCACGGAGCACCTGCACGGAAACTTCCGGAACCTCACAAGGTATCTGGAACGCTCCGGAACGGCACAGAACCCTCTGCAGCCTCAGCAGGTATCTTCACCGGAACCCTCCAGAACTTCACCAGGTATCTGCACCGGAACTCTCCGGAACTTCACCAGGTATCTGCACCGGAACCCTCCGGAACTTCACGAGGTATCTGCACCGGAACCTCACGAGGTATCTGCACCAGAACCCTCCGGAACCTTGTCCGGAACCTAGTGTTGAAGCTGCGCCGGACCGCGCCGGAGTTCATCTGGGCTAAAGACGCCTTAGTAAAGTTTTGCTGTTGGGGAACAATGAAACAACCCAGGGGTTGATTGGTCAGGGGTTGACATGATCATTCTTTCCTTTTTCTTCAAGGAGATCTATCTCCTTTCCTTGCTTGCAACCACCCGCAGATCCAAATCCGAGAAATCGAAATCAACGACCACTCCTCCCTGGCGGCAGGCTGGTTTCTTAAAATGGGGGCACCCCAAAATTGATGGTTTGTAGGGGATAATTTCCCCTAAAAATTGATGATTTGGGGGTCCTCTTCAAGTCTTTAGCTTCAGGGCATGGGACTGGACATGGATGGAACTTGTTTTTTTGATCACCATTCGCCTGAAGGGTTACCTCCACCTCGCAGGCCTCACCATATAGAAATGATGGGAAACTGGTGGCTGGTGAACACCAAAATGTTTCGAATTTTTGCAAATTTTGATATAGATATAAATCTTCAAAAATGATCTAATCGTATAACTTACTTTGGGTGTGGGAGTTGATCAATCTTGATTTTTTTTTTGGATTGTTTTGACAGTGTCCATCCACGTTGATGGTTTTGGGGCAAATCATTTTGCCGGAGGCTTCTGCATCGGGTCGAAACCACTCGCAGGCCAAGGCCGTTCTTGTGTTTGCTGGAGATTTTGGTAGTAGCGTTCTCACAGAGGAGTTCTTTGGACGTTGGAAATGTGCTCAGGCAAACGCTACATCTTCCAAGAGAGGCTGGAGCGTGATTCACTTGCTGCATTGAATCATTTAGCTTCCAAAATTGCTATGGTTTATTTGGTTTATTGGGGGTTAAGTCACCAGGATAGGGTTGTTGAGCAGGAATTAGATAATCAGTTGACACAGTCGAGGGGTTCAAACATCGAATGTCCAGGAAACTATGCCGACGACTCTGACAAGGAAGAGGAAGGATACTGGCAGGAGGACAATAAAAAGGAAAGGAAAGGATATTGGCAGGAGGACAATGAGAATGAAGACAAAGGATACTGGCAGGAGGACAATGAGAATGAAGACGCAGGATACTGGCAGGAGGACAATGAGAAGGAAAAAAAAGGATACTGGCAACACGACACTAGGGAGAAAGACAAGGGATTCTGGCAGGACGACAATGAAAAGGAAGACAAAGGATACTGGCAGGACCAAGCAATATGGCAATAGAACTTCCAAGCACGGAGAGTAGGGGGGCCACCATTTCTTAAAATGGGTTTTCACCGCCAAAAGTGGGGAAGAAGAATGAACAACAATGGATCAACCAGAGACTACTACCTGAAGGAATCTTGCATAGCACCTGTTGAGGATGGTCATTTAGTTCAATCAA